GGAAATTAAGGTGATAGCAAGATCAACGTGTCTGTCAGCCCTAAGATCACGTGCATTCTATTTGTGCCAAGATTACCCTTGTATTTAGAAAGCAAATTATGGCCATTTCGTAACTCTTTGCTGTTTTCATGTTTAATTACCTATTTTCTTTAGTACTTGATTTCACTAAATTTTATCTTCGCAAACAAAGATATCCTTGATTTAAATAAAATAGGTGCTTGTTAATATAATTATATATTACTATATTACGAATATACAAGGTGATGTTCAGACTATATAAAGTAATGAAAGGATTGGTTTTACATCATACATTTTATAACACATTTTATTTTAAGGAGCATATAGACCAAAAAAACTCATCTCAGCATTAGAGTGTTTAGAAAAAGCATTAAGTGTGGCCACTGAAGTATTACTATATAGGCGCTGTATGTCGTTCATGGATGTTAGACATGACCTAATAATGAAAGAGGTGGATTACACTACCCTTGTCTAAATCCGACTATTTAGCAGATCGGTGTATTTCATCTTAGTCATTGATTTATTATCTATCAAAACTAATAGAATCAGATTTATGTATCTGTAAGAGACTTTTTTGGCCTAAAGTACAAAATACGTATTTATCAGCTCTCTTTTCTCCTTCCCTCTACTTCTTTTGTTCCACATTTCTCTAGATTTATCTAAGTAGTGGTTCTCAGAACGGCATCCCTGATCTACCAGCATTAGTATCACCCGAGAACATATTACGAATAGAAATATTTGGGTCACACCACTGGGAATATGTAGGGAAAAATGGTCTCGCAATCTGCACAGTAACAAGCCTTTCTGGAGATTCTCCCATTAGAGAATCGAGATTCTCCAATTATGGTAAATTTGAGGACCACCAAGCTAGAGGATTAGTGTAGGTGATGACTCTTCTTTTCTTGTGTGAATTGTTTCACCTACTGCCTTACAGAAAATTATTTAAGTGTTTGTTTGTTTGTTTGTTTTTTGGGGTTTTTTTGAGAACAATTCTTGCTCTGTTGCTTAGGCTAGAGGACAGTGGTGTCATCATAGCTCAGTGCAACCTTAAACTCCTGGGCTTAATAGATTCTCTTGTCTCAACCTCCCAAGTAGCTGGGACTCATGCCTCCCACCAACTAATTTTTTCTATTATTTTTTGTACAAATGGGGAGGTCTCCCTCTTGCTTAGGGTGGTCTTGAATCCTCCTTGCTCAGCCTCCAGAGTGCTAGGATTACAGGCATGAGCCCTGTGCCCAGCCAAAATTGCTTCTTAAGAATGCCTTTTTTAGTTTCAATAGAAATGTTATTCGTACCCTTTGCGGTGGTGTTAGGGATGATAACATACTGTTTCTAAGCTGAAAGTGACTACGAAAACTATATATTCTTTCCAAAATATCTATCCTTTATTCCCTGTTTTTTTTTTTTCCCTGCCACCCATTATCAAAGTTTTTCTTCCTGTGACATCAACTAGAGGGTAGCCTGTGACTATGTTCTGTCATCTGTATGTGAGCATTATGCTTACAATGAAAACTATATTTAATATATGAATGAGAATGAGGTGAATCAAGCTCTTCTTGAAACAGTAAGAATATCAGTGTCTGTACTTGACAAATTCTAACTGCCAAAGATATTGGAATCATGGAGTAATAAGGAAGGAATTTTGTACAGAGAGACATGTCTTTATAAGTGAGAATGTCTCTCATGTATCAGGAAAATTTTAAGTTTTCTGTGGAATTCCAGAAAGTAAAAGTTACGAGTATTAAGACTTGATTAGTATGATGAAGCTATTAAGCTATCAGGTCTGCCTAAATATAGACTGGGCTTCCCTGTGAAATAAAGTTTCCTGTAGGTAAGGATATTAGAGCCAACTCAAACGATGGATTGATTGGCTGGTCTATTCCCGGAGTGCCCAACCCCCAGCCTGCAGGCTGCATGCAGCCCAGGATGGCTGTGAATGTGGCTGAAGACATCATCACAAACTTACTCAAAACATTATGAGATTTCTTTGTGTGAGTTTTTTGTGGAACTTGATCGCATGGTTCTTGAGTATGAACTTTGTAGATGACAATGTCACGTGGCAATACCACACAAAATAAACATACGTACACTCTTGACATTTGTACCCGCACTACACACTTGAAGTACACACTTGTACTTCATGGTGGTGTGCAGTTTCCAATGTAGTATCTTCGGAGCACAGATAGTCAAACTGACACCATCCGACTTACATGTGCTCGTGGGGACTTGGTGAGGCAGCGATGAGCAGTAATATTTTAAACTACCACAGTAGGCATCTAATGTTCTTTAGAAGTAAGCACTCTTGGGTGGTTTTTAAGGGCACTTCCAACCTCAGTGGCACCTCACACATTCTATAGTTGGTTCTTTGCGTCACTCTGCATGGGCAGCCGAGATGTGGAAGGGCCCATACCTCACTTTCTATTTTCCTGTCAATTAATTATTAAAGTAAATATAATCCCCTACCTCTTATTAGTTTTTTAATCCCAGAATGGTTTATACAACATCTCAGAAGAAAACAGAACCCCCCCCCCCAGAAGGATTACAGATGAAGGAAGAGTGTTCAGTAAAAAGTGGAAAGATGACTATTTCTATGTTGAGGCAAAATAGTAACACACTGCTTAATTTGTAGGAAATTTGTGCAAGTTTTAAAAGGCTAGAACGTGAGAAGGCATTACATGCAAAAACATGCTGCCCGGCTTGATGCAGATGAAGGATTGTGTGGTAAGGACAAAATAGCAGAACTGAAAAAAGTCTGATTTCTCAACAAGAATTTTGTTGAAAAGTTGCAACTCAGATGAATTCTATTATAAAAGCTAGTTTGGGGGGTAGCAGATTTAATAGCAAAAAAATAAAAAATAAAAAATCCAAACCATTAACTGACTTCCCTTTCATGTCATTGCTTTCTGGCAATATCTACATTTGCAAGCAGCTATTTTCAAGAATGAAGCACATTATTTCTTTTTTTATTTTTATTTTTTTTTGAGACAGAGCCTCAAGCTGTCACCCTGAGTAGAGTACTATAGCATCACAGCTCACAGTAACCTCCAACTCCTGGGTTGAAACAATTCTCCTACCTCCACCTCCCAAGTAGCTGGGATTAGAGGCACCTGCCACGATGACCAACTATTTTTTTTTTTGGTTGCAGCCTTCATTGTTGTTTGGCAGGCCTAGGTTGGATTGGAACCTGTCAGCTCAGGTGTATGTAGCTGACGCCTTAGCCACTTGAGCCACAGGTGCCGAGCCAATGAAGCACATTAAAAATAAAATTATAACCAAAATATCTGATGAACATCTTGAAAACTCACAGAGAATTGCAATTACTCCCATGGAACTGGATATTGGTGCATTATTAGTTGCTCAAACACAGTATCAAATGCCACAGTAGCTTTATCCTGCTCACTTTTCTTTTACTTTTGTAATAAAAAATCAAGAAAAGACTTCTTATTACTTATATATGTGCATTTTCTGTATCAGGGATCACAAACTTGGGACCTGTTTGACAATCTTAAAAGAATCTCTGAACGCTCCCTGCATAATTAAGGTTATTAAGTGAAGACATTGTAGCTCATCGATAGTGGCAGATGTCCTGACAAGTATTCAACAGATCTTTTTTGTTTGTTCGTTTTGGTTTTTTTGCTCCTCAGCATTCATTGATGTAGGTGCATTTCATGTGTTGCCCAAGACAATTCCTCTTTTTCCAAAGTGGCCCAGAGAAACCAAAAGTTTGGAAGCCCCTGGTGCAGACGCTGCTGTTCATAGCATGGTGCCATCTAGGAGTAGTTAAGAGGTCAGAATCTCAGGGTCCATCCAGTCTTAGTGAATCACCATCTACAATTAACAAGGCTCACGGGGGATCATATGCACATGATGTTGGACAAATAGTTGCTCCATTTAACAGCAAATGAACTCTCATACATTTATACTTAATTCTCCTAGAATTACATTGTGATGTAGAATTTGAACAACAGTCTAGAACTGAATATTGTACTTCAGTGAGATGGTCTTGAAGCACTATTTCTCTGTTAACTTTGGACTCTCTGTTTGATACAAAAGTAAATTATACTTTCTGGATTTTTCCCACAACACTAAGAATACTTGCCCTAACCCCTTAATCGTACTCAATATTTAATCTTTCTCCAACTCCCTTGTACATTTCTACTTCATTTTCACTAAACTCAGACTTGGTGGCTTTCCTTCACTGAAACTTGCCCTTGCTGCTGAGAGTAGGTGCTGGTTTGTCGCCTGCTTCCTCCTCGGTCCCTGATGGGTCTGCGCGAATGGACAGCAGCAGCGAAAGGCAGAGAGAGTCGCTGAAGGGGGGTGTAGGAATAGAGGGGATGCGATGGGGGAGACCAGACTCCCCTCAAAGCTGAAATGTACCCCGGCGGGGGCGGGGAACCCCGAACACTCAGTCCTTATCACCCAAACCATATGAATGGAGAGGAGGTGGAGAGGTAGAGAAGTGACAGATGCCGCCACACCCTAGGCTGGCGCGGGTCCCTACAGCCCTGACCACCGTGCCCTGCCCGGGGGGAGGAAAGCTGCTTAGAGAAATGAGCAGCGCAGAAACCCAGGGAGCCCGGAGGTGCCCGAGTCCGTTCCCTTCCTAAACAGCGCGGCCGGCACGCACACCAGCCGCGGAGCCCATCGCGTGGAGGGGCCCGGGCCCGGCAGCCTGTCCCCTGCCCGGTGCTGCCGGTGGCCGGCCCTCGGCTGGCAGGGCCGTGGGGTCAGCGTGAGAGTTGGCGGCCCGGCGCGGCCGTGGGAGAGACAAGTGCATCCGCCGGCGCGTGTGCGTGAGGAGGAGAGCAAAGACGTGATTACTTCAGAATTTATTTAAGGGCCGGTGGAAACCACTGCAGCAGCTTCCAGGGGAAGCCCTTGTTCCAGAGGAAGAGGAGGTGGCAGCTGCCAAGGAGGAGGAGGGGAGGAGCCGAGGAGGGGAGAGCCACCGCCGCCGCCGCTCCAGGCAAGTCAGGGGCGAAGATGCTGTAGCGTCCTCGCCGGCGCCCAGCAGGTTGGTTCCCCGGCAACCTGCAAGCGCAGAGGCTCGGCACCGCCTGGGGGGACACGGGTGCGGGGTCGGGGTTGGGGGGCGACTCCCTGCCTTTCCGGAGAAGACGCGCCTCCTTTAAATGCAACCAGACACCTGAGCGCGGAAACCATCCGGGGGCCGGGGAGAGACCTGTGCTGCCTCCCGCACCCCTGGGACTCCGCTCCCTTTAGCTTCGCAAGTGTTGCCTTAAACTCCAGAGGGGTCTGGGCGGGGAACTGGGTGGAGAACTTCCTTTCCAGATACTTCTCGTGCCTTTCCCCAAATCTGACGTTTAACAGGACACCCCCACACATCCCAGGTGGCCTGGGCGCCCAGGGGGAGCAGTGCGCTTGGTTAAGTTTCTGAGATTCAAACCTGGTCCCCTGTCCCCAGCTCCCCGCCCCGGGGGCTCCAGCTGCACGCGGGGAGCTGTGGCGGCTCCGGCAAAGGGGCTGCTGCTGCTTTAAGAGCCGCCTCCCCCTCTCCTCCTCTGACAATGGTCTGAACCGAGCTCTGCTTCCCAAAGCAAAATTTGTAATATGCCATTTTTCCGATGGACGCTTCTCCTTTTGGCTGCTGACGGAGCCGCAGGAAGATGCCGAGCTGCCGCCGAGCCGCCGAGCCGGGGCACGTTCCGGGAGGGCGCCGGGGCACGCCTGGGTCTGAGCTGCCTTTCTCCTCCCGTTGCTAGGGAAATGGTCCAGGAGCGCTGGGTGTGAGCCTCCCTGCTCGGCAAGCCGGAGACTGCGGTTGTCATTGATCAGTTGAAGAACCAGGACCCGAAATCACAGACATTAGGTACAGAAACTGTATCTCAGTTGCACGGTTTCCTCTCTGGCCCCCTCCCCCTGTAAACCAGCTCCCCGGCCCCACCCCGCCCCCAGGGAAGGAGGGATGCAAATTGTCCTCGCTGATGACTGTGCTGGTACCTTTCGCTTTTCTACCCCATCCTCTCCATCTCCCCTTTCTCGCCTCCTGCCTTCTTGGCTCTCTCCTTGGGCAGGCTGAACAATTTTAGCATGGAAATTATGAAGTCAACTTCTTCGGGGTGGTGGGGGGTGTGGCTGAGAGAGAACTGTCCAGCAGTGTGGGCTGAGCTGGCTCTTCGGTCATCTGTAAACGTATTAGGGTAAAGTGTAAAATGCTCGCAATAAAGGTTATGGTAATATTTCCAGAGGACAGGGGATTTTAAAGAGTTAAAGAGGAGGAGAAATATTCATGCAATGTACTCACACAATGGCTAGGATTTCTCTCACCGAATTACTCCTTGTGGGTTAGCTGAAGCGGAACTGAGATGGTTAGGACTAAACCTTTTCAGAAGAAACTTGCAATAGAAGATGATTTGATTCTTGCTTCTAGTAGCGCCTAAATCCTAGTGACATGATCAAATAAAGTTATTCATTGACAGAAAAAAAAAAAAAAGCCGAGGGTAGCACTCTCATGTCTGAGTAGGCACTGCTTTCACCTTCCAGGGCACATACCGCTAAGGAGCACACTGGGTCTGGGAAAAGCCATGACTCCAGTGAGCATTCAAAAGTTTTATTTTGAAATCTGGGAGATTGAAAAGACAGTCAAGGTTATGTGCTAAGAATATGGGAGTTGGTTTTACTGGCATCAAATTTGTCAAGCTAAATTTAAGCACTAGGATAATTAAGCCAATCAGGCTTATTATTATTTTTCCATTCTCAACAAAATTAACAGTGTCTCTAACTAGGTCTTGAAACTTTCGATAATTTAGTGAACAAGGCATGAACGTCTAGATGAGGATAACATACTTTCTAGATCCCATGGACTTTAAGGAGAGAATGGGAGACTGATTTTTGAAAATGTGAGTTGTTAGTCTGCTCTTTTGGTCTTCCCAGAAATTGCATTATGAATGCCGTTTTTAATATTGAAAATGACTGTAACAGTTAAAAGTGTTATATCTGGATGAAATATATTAGACATTGAATTATCATAGATTCTTGGAAATGCCAGTTGAGATGTCATCCATTCCAGAAAAGCTTGTTTAACATTTACTAATGAATATAGATCTTTAATTGCTTTCAAAACTTAAAATGTGCATTTAAGAAATATTATACTGTATTTTAAAGATTATTCATAAATTTTGTAATTTATAATAGACTCCCAGCTAGCTCACAAAAATGGCCTTTTTTTTTTTTGTAGACATAGTTTTTTCTTCCTCATTTTGGTGAGTCTTAGCATTTACTCATTTGGTTTGACTGTGAAGAAAAAAACAGCATGTATTATTATTCATCTTACTTATTAAGAACTTTTACATTGTTGGATTTCTATAAGCTGAATTTATAGAGCTCAAAAGCATCCCCTTGAATTAAACCTTTAGTCATAGAAGCAGAATGAGTCATAAAGGCAAAATAGTCTTGCTGCAAAGAGAGTGTTGGTCACTGTATAATAGAAATAAATACTTGAATTAGTTAACAGCCTTTTATAGTTTTTACTGTGTGCTGTCAGTCAGGTAACCTATTCAATCCTATAATGGGCTTTTAGCTTCTTGTCCCTACTTCATAGAAAAGAAACTAAAGTTTTGACAAGTGAAGTGTCATGCCCTGGTTCGCATGCCTCAGGAGTGGAGTAGAACCAAGTTTGGGTATAGACTTACTATTCTTTCTAATGAGTATCTGTAATGAGTACTCATTATAGCTTCTTTTAACTGGTTAAATTGAAGACCACCTTTTATAGTGATTTAAGTGCCAAAAGTTTGAGAATGTCCATTGTTCCCTGGTAACAACATGTGGAAATTGTACTTGGGGGTAATTGCCACCCCATGTGATGCTTTCCCTTAGAATTTATAGTTCTTTTAAGTAACTCAGAATGGAGAGGAATGAATAGCTTTCTTTTAAGAAGAATACAATTTAGAATGCAAAGTTAAGAATATTTAGATAACCCTAACATTTAAACATCATGTGTGTTGGCAAAAATTGCTACTATTTCCTTTTCCAGTACATTGTTTTACCCTTAAATGTCAAAAACAAACATATCAGTTCCTGGTAATGATTTATCAGAATGACACATCTGTTCCGTGTGTGGATTTCATCATGGCACACAAACTCATCATTTTAAATGATCAAATGTGTCGGGACTTTTTGGTTTGTTAGTTTTTCAATTCCTTTATGATTTACGTAAAGAAAATTTGTATCAAGTAAAAAGGGTCTATTAATTTCCATCTTTGTGATAGTTTTTAAATGAAAATCAAATTGAGAAAAATTCAAATAGAAGTTTACCCATAGTAATAGTAGCAGATGTGTGTGTATGTGTGTGTGTGTGTTTAAATATGATCTACACATCTTCTCTCTCATTTATTTTAGGGTGAATACAAAATAGAACAGGTTCCTGCCTTCAGATCGCTTAGTGTTTTGAATGATGAGCAAAAATTCAAAGCAGTTTGAATTATCCTAAAATTCACTGAAATTTTTTAATAAAGGTTATCAATCAAAAATACTAGTTTTTTTTTTTTAAGTTTTACCTAGTTTCCAGTGGGCCTTAACCAAATAGATTATAGATAATTGAATTTCTCTCCTAAATAACCAAAGTTATTTGAAGAATCACATAAAAAGTAATTAACTATTGAGCTGTTAAACCTTGACATTTTATTTGAAAATATCATCAGAAGTATTTTCCCCCAGGACAAGATTATGTAGGCAGAAAAATTAATTGACCTTGCATTATAAAACCAAAGAATTCTCCACATCATCAGCCAAACCAGCCTTTCTTCACATCAGCCTTTTGCAAAACCAGGCCCTGCAATTAATAACTCCTGGCCATACTACCACAAGTGAAATTGATATGAGTTTGGCTTAGACATAAGATAAAGCATTAAAAGAGATAATTCAGTAATTTTTGATTTTTAAGATGCCACATGATAAGGCAATCTTGCATCTCAATATCTGTGTTGTCTATTTTATATCAAATTGATAAATTATTTAAAAATATTGTGAGGACTTCATTTACTTCATGACTGGAAGCTTGTGATTAGCCCCTGACATATGAAGTTACAACATTAGCTAATGTAATTTATGGAGTTTGTTCCATGGAATGTTTGGAAGAGTGTTAGTCTGTATTGTTTGGATGAAAACCAGACAATGCCGCTCACAGCTCACAGGAAACAAAGGAATCCTAAGTATAATTAGGAGTATAATAACCTAATCAAATCGATGTACCTCAGTCTGTTTTGCAAAGTGTGTGTCTAATTCAGTCAGCACCACTTATCTTCTCTGTATAGACCACTGGAGGAATTCAGGAAGAGAGCATATTAAAGTGATGAAATCCAAATTGTCATGCTAAAAAGCTTTAAACTCATTGGGGTGGGAAAAATATGTTAATAAAATAAGAAAGTAAAAGCTGATTGTTATATAAAATGAATAATCAATTACTTGCAGATTTTCTGAATGAAAGAGTAAATTGCAATTCATTCAATTACCTAACTCATTACAAAAAGATACTTCCTACTTACCCATTAAATGCCAGACACCATGATTGGTCTTAACAATATATAGTTATTATGAATGATGGTGACATAGAGATTTTGGCTGTAAGAGATTTGTAAACTCTCAGGAAAGAAAGGTGATGAAATAATACGTAGAATGATGTTTATGTGAAATGAGTTAGATGGGATTTAAGAAAAAAATAACTTTGAAAAGCAGGTGAAACCAAATTGCATTTTGTAGGTGGGAGAAACGTGGATTGTCCTAAGAGAGAAAGTATGTGGGTTGGAAGAGTTGGAAACATTTATTTACCTTGTTTTTGAGTTGGGCCAGTGAGTAGGGGGAATAGGGACAATTAAGTTAATAAGTTGCAGAAAGTTTAGTGAGTTGATGGCCGAAGGTGTTCTTAATTTCTTAAAAAAAAAAAAAAAAGAAAGAAAGAATTTCTTTACTCAGCTTCCTCTCTTTTTTTCTTTAAGCGATGATGTGTGAAGTGATGCCCACGATTAACGAGGACACCCCGATGAGCCAAAGGGGGTCCCAAAGCAGTGGCTCAGACTCAGACTCCCATTTTGAGCAGCTGATGGTGAATATGCTTGATGAGAGGGATCGTCTTCTAGACACCCTTCGGGAGACCCAGGAAAGCCTCTCGCTTGCTCAGCAAAGACTTCAGGATGTCATCTATGACAGAGATTCACTCCAGAGACAGCTGAATTCCGCTCTGCCACAGGTATGCTTTGGGGTCGCACTTGTCCTTCCATTGTAACTGAAAATGTGCTAAGATTTAAATACGATTTACATGATTCCCATTCCTAAAATTGGTTTTCCACTCACCAAATATGATATTCATGTTCTGGTGAGAACAACTGAAGCATAGAAAATTAGTTCATGAAATCTCATCTCAGACAAAATAACATGTATTGCTAGAGGGCGGTGTGTGTGTGTGTGGTGTGTGTTGTGTGTTTGTGGCTTAAATTCCTATCTGGTCTCTTTCTTAAAAGTTTATCTGAGGCCAGCGCCTGTGGCTGAAAGGCGTAGTAGGGCGCTGGCCCCCTATACCGGAGGTGGTGGGTTCAAACCTGGCCCCAGACAAAAACTGCAAAAAACAGTTTATCTGTATGCTTTGGTAGGATACAAAACCACTTGTTGATCATCTTTTAAATCGCCAGAATGTAGAGAGAGTTAATCTTTCTAACTTTGTAAACACAATTTTGATACTTGGAAATATCTGTTCTCTATTTCCAGTTGTGTGGTCTGTCTTTGGAAAGCATTTCAAAAGGAGTTTGAAAGTCTACTGTCTAATTATCCTTTTGTCTTTCTTTTAAAATACCTGGTACTTGCTTTAAATTCTTAGAATTATTGATATGTCACCTTCTTGCCTCAAAAAGTACTTTGGTTTCTTTTTATTTTTAGAAGATTTTGGAAGTTAGAATGCAGAAAGTCAGCCTTATCTTCAAAAACTTTAATTTGTTAGTTCTTTTAAAATAGATTTCTGTTAATACTCTCGTAGGGGAAAGGGGAGACATTCTGAGGATTGCCAGCCTGCTGGTATACAAGGCAATGATGAGAGTCAGTTTCCTCTTGTGCTTCTTTTAGGTCTGAGAGAAAACATAATGTATGAGTAAGATTTTTAGTGATCGACCATAATAAACCAGAACTTTCTTTTAAATAGGGTGATGGGCCTTCTACTTAAAAATAGTATGGCAAATGTTCAAGAGTTGAAACCTCTTTATGAAGTTATGACTTGTAGAAAATATATTTTCATAAATATTAATAACTATATAATCAAGAAGTTGATAAAATTCTAACCCTAGTTATAGCAGTGACTTGACTTGCAGATTGGAAAGGATCATCGGGAACTTTCTGTTGCATCTTCATTAGATTATCCTGTATCCCGATATGAATAACGTCTGCACCCGTCCACTGCATTTTTGGTCAGTGTGTCTTGTGCTGAGCTGGTCTACTTTTTCCAGTAACTCTCACTTGTGTTTGTTTAATCACACAGTGTGTGTTAACTCATTTCAAAAGGCATCTCTCATATCTTCACCAAGAAGTACATAGTTCAAGGTTGATATTTCAGTCTTTGCAATTGCTCTTCATCACGTGATCTCTAGAACTATCACCGCGCACTCACTCTCCTCTGGTATTATTTAAATTGGTTAATTCTCTTGTTAAAGCAGGGAGGTCCCAGAACTAGTCACATTGGTCTTCATCTTTTGTGAGAACCATAAAATAGGGCAGTCTTTTTTTTTAAATTCTAGATATATTATTTCATTAAAAAAGACTAGGAAGTTATATTTGGGGACAAGTGTCCTGGGACAGCAGTAAACTGAAATTTCTAACAGTTGACTATTTGATCAAACCTGTAAGATTTTGCACACATTCCTCCCAATTTTTTCCTTTTAGATTTGAATTCAAGTCTGATATTTTCAACTTGCATTTTAAATTTACCAAAAATATTCCGAAAATAATTTGAGATTTTTTAAATGTTTTCTTCTTCCTACAGAAAAAAAAAACCTTAGGTGACTATTTCATAAAGATGTTATAAAAAAACACTGCAATAAGATACTTTGGGGTAAAAAGGAAAAAACTAAAAAAAAATTTCAGAAATAACTATATTGTACCAATAAATCTCTTCTTAAAGGTATAAGAATAAAAAATGTTTTCATTCTAAAAACTTGATTTTATTGATCATTTATATTATGAGGTCATATTTGAAGTTTTATTTTTTAATTACAATGAATGCATAGCCACTTATTTAAATTCTTTGACTGTATTTTAGTCAGTTGTGTTGTGGAGGTCAGAATTTTCCTCATTTCCAGATGAATATAATGCATATTTTGGAACATTCCTCCAGAAGGGACATGGGCAGCTGCTATAAGTACACACATGTATTTAGAAGGTCTTAGGAATATTTCTACTGCATGGAGAAAATAAAGACTATGGATAATCTCGTGATAGGATAGGTCTTGTTTTGCCACCCATCAAGTTTGCCACCCACTTAACCATTATAAATTAAGTGCATGGTTTTTGGAATTACAGATTAGAAATTATGAGCCTATACATTTAGATGGCAATCGTTCCGATCTGTTTTATAACTGTTGTGACAACTTTCGATATTAATTCGTATGTAACTATTACAAATATCTGAGTGCCCCTAGAAATCCAAAGATCCTTAAAAACAAGGGTGAGACTGGCATTTTTTAAAGCCAGTGTTTAATAACATCATTGGTACCTTGAGGGGTATATGTTTTATAGAAGTAATAGAGGGATAGTTTTCATGAATTGGTATCTTTGAATCTTTTTTAATATTCTGTAAGCAAATGCACCCACACTGTTTGGAGGCATCACACTTGACACGTATCTGGAAGAAGAAAATTGCTACCAAATGTGAGGTTTGAGACAGAAATAAATGATGTAAAATTGAAAACCACTACACTGACATAAAAATAAAAATTATTTTAACAAAAATAGGATAGAATTGGAAGCAGTTGAATGTTGCTTAAATAATACTGTGCGATGAATAACATACAACTTCAGTGGCATACAAAAATATGTGCTTGTAAAAAAAAAATATGTGCTTGTGGGATTCAGCTGATCTGGACTGGGACTATCTGATCTTGGATGGAATAACTTATGGCACTAGCTAGCTGTATTTGGCTCGATAAGCTGCAGGTCAGCTGGCTATTATCTGATCCAGAATGGCCTTGGCTAGGCCGACAGACTGGGCCCACTCAGCTCTATTCTGGGAGCAATTGGTTGTCCCCGGTAGGTTCTCATGGTCATGGCAGAGGAGTGGGAGAAACCAGAAATAAGCAAGTACTTTTCAAGCTTCTGCTTGAGTCATTTTTTGGTGATGTCCTTTTGCCAAACCAAGTTAGAGCGGAAAGCATTACAAATTACATCACAGAGCTGTCGACGCAGGGAGGGGTGAAGTGCTGGGACCATCCGTGCAATCAATTTGCCACAAATGTCATTAAAAGAGTCACTTAGGCCATTGTCATGGTTGGGAAAGCTGTACTGATATCGTTCTAGTAAAGTTTGGGGATTCGTAATAGGAATATGAGCTGGAAAACTAGGAAGGAATATGGAAATATTGAATATTTACATCAATTAAGAATATTAAAATAATAAATGGTCAGGGACAGGTGATATACTGAGTGGCCAAGGGATTTGGACTTCAGTCAAATCTAAATCTGAAATGAAGCTTCTTAGTTGTTAGCTGAAGGATCTTTGGAAAGTTACTTGAATTCTCTGAAACGCTAAATTTTTAATTGGAAAGAGCAGATGATATCTGCTCTTCAGAAAGGTTGAAAGCAGCTAAGTGTATGTGATTCAGAAAACTGGAGCATTATCAAATAGCGGGTACTTGTCATAAGCTGGGATGGGCTGGTGTATACTTGATGAGGAATTAGGGAGCCTGCTAGGGGAAGAGAAAAATAGGTTTATCTTTCAGCATTCTAAAATGCAAACGATTTGGGGGAACTTGCCCAGAGTGACCGATTCTGCACTGAAGGGACTTTTATTCTGCAGGCAGACTGCTGGGTAGAATTGGACTTACTAGCTCAATAACCTTCCCCAAAGTACTTAATTCAAATAGTGATAGAAACTGCCTCACAGGATCATTATGAGGAACAAATGAGTTGGAACATGTCAAACCATCAGTTCAATGCCTCACAGATAGTACATGCTCAATAAATGTTAAACGCAGCTATTGTTGCTCTTATTATCACTGTAGATATTATCCTCATTCTCTTTAGCCAACCTTAACTGCACAATTTTCCCGGGTGATAATGAGCCCTAGCACAGATCGAGAGCACTAAAAATCCATGCGCGCCTCAATCGTTATCAAATTTTAAAAGTCCATTGATTTACCTTTAAAAAAATTATTAACTGCACTTCCCTGCATCATTTTTTCCAAATTCTTTACTTCCGAAATGGCTAGTCTCCCATGCCCCTTGATTCCATCAAACCACGGCCCTTTCTCTCGTGCTGAGATTATAATGTCTGGATTGAGCGCCTTGGTTTTCAGTGAAACCTAACACCAGTCAGTGCACTAAGTGCTCCTTGCTCTGTCAAAATAAAAGAGGCCGCGCCTTTCACCTCCTGTTGTTGCCATCCTCGCTTCTTAATATGTTTTTCTTCTTTCCAGTTATTTTCCCCCCCCTGGCCAAATGAAGTGATATTCTCTTGCAGCCTTCATTTCTCATGACTCCTGCTTTCTTTCTTAACCCTTAACCATCAGGCTTCTGTCATCACGGTTTTCCTAAAATTACAGTCTACTCTCTATTTCATTTGAAATTTTTGAAATTTTATTTATGTACCTTCCTTTCGGTTCACTGATTTTCTCTGTGTTATCTGATTTGCTGTCAAACCCATTTATTTGGTTCTTTGTTGCGACGGTTGTCCTTTTAAATTTTATGACTTCCCATTTTTTTTCTTCACTTTTTGAACATTGTAATCCTAGCCTCGGAGTTATTTTAAGTCATTCAGATAACTTCAGTATGCACAGCTCCTATGATTTTTTTTGTCTTTTGGTGAATTATTTACTCATTCTTATTGTCTTGTCACTTCCTGTGCATGGTTATTTTTGACATGTGGCAGTCATCTTATTCGCAAAATTGTTGGTGGGAGTCACTTTAGTTCTAGGAAAATAATATCTTCCCCTGGAGGAAATTTTCATTTGTTTTGGTCAGGGGCCTTGGAAAATAGTGATTCTCAATCACCTCA